TGGACAAATGGCAAACAGGTAATAGTGGTTTAGTGGAAGATTACGCAACTTTCTTTTTCGGTTTAAGCTGTCATTTAAAAGAAATGCTAGATATATACTACTTCACTAAGACCTTTTTCAGACAGTTGAATGAGATTTACACTGAAACTTCATCATAGGAAAGATTCCGGAGAACAAAATGATGTGATTGTGTGCAATGTTATACCTTGACCCTTTGTAAGATATCTCCAAGGTACAGGATGAGGAAGTTGGTGATGGGACAACTTCAGTTGTCGTTTTGGCTGGAGAACTTTTGAGGGAGGCAGAGAAGCTGGTAAACGCAAAAATTCATCCAATGACAATTATAGCAGGTTTGTTCTGATGATCTGATGTCTTAACATGTTTTGTACAGGCATACACACGTGTATGTATATCATTGACACTTCCTTCAAGCTTCTTATATTCAGAATAGTAGAGTACAAACTGCTTATAGACTGCTTTATTGAGTTTTCTTGTGTACCATTACTGCAGAACTTGCTTGCTATTTTGTCTTTAAGTGGGCATCTTTTCTTTTATCTATTGAATCATCTAGTGTTCTTGTTTTCCGATGCTTGACGGTTGTTAATCTAGAAAAAGCTCGACTATTTATCCTTGAATCATATTGAATCTATGATAGGCTTAAAGTTTGCACTAAAACATCAATACCTAGCTTCCTAGGTATATCTGTATATTAGTACTTGTGCAGTGATTGAATGCTGAATTCTTGGGAAAATTTTGTTTTTCATTGATTTCTTTATATCTGTTGGTCTTGGTGGGAAGAGATTGCCTTGTAAGGAAGTAGAAGGTGCCTGGTAGAATAGTCGAGGTGCCATTTAAATTGGCTCAGATACCTACTTTTAAAAACATAAACAACTATAAAGAAGACAGTGCCAAGAGGCGGCATAAATTCCTTCACACCCCAATATTTCTATCCAGAAATCAGCTGAAGTATCTTTTCTGCTTATCAAGCCAAAACATAGCTAGTTCCTATTTCTTAGTTTATGTTAAGCTGATAGTATCTGAGGTACCTAATCTGGTTTATGCTTACTGGTACCTATCAATGTTCTATTTGTTTCTTTATATATCAGGTTTCCGGATGGCATCTGAGTGCGCGCGCAATGTTCTGGAGCAGAAGGTCGTAGATAACAAGCAGGATGCAGGTATTGTTGCTTGAGTTGTCAGTTGTATGTAACATCATAGCAGAGAACCTACATATTTTATGGCATATATTGATTTTGATTATCGATCGACTGGCACACCACTTTTTCTTTGAACAATGCCAAGATGGCTTTTTTCTGGATGCTAGTAGCTGATAATCAATCAGTCCAAGAGTTATTTATTTATCTTGCTCTTTCTCATTATGATATGGTCATTTCCTTCATTTGTTGCAGAGAAATTCAGATCAGACTTGATGAATATTGCAAGGACTACTTTGAGCTCAAAAATCTTGTCTCAGGACAAGGAGCATTTTGCAAAACTGGCTGTTGATGCGGTTATGAGGTTAAAGGTCAATATTTCATCTGCTTTAGCGACTTACAAAGAAAATGTTTTTGTCTTTTTAATCGTGTGATCTTCCTTATCTATAAATAGATTCTTTTCTTTTTTCCTTGGTCAGACACTAACTGTCAAATGTGAAAAGTTAACATGAACATGAGTCTATCACTTATTTATTGGTAGAAAGATGTGTGCTCTCTCATCAACTCTTCCAATCCCCTTCGGTTTGTTAGTTTTATTCATATATTGTGTTTACAATCTTATGCTAAATTGATTGTAATAACAGGGAAGTACCAATCTTGAAGCAATTCAGATAATTAAGAAACCTGGAGGGTCATTGAAGGATTCATTTTTAGATGAAGGGTGAGTAAATAAGCTCAAGTTTTCTTCTGATTTGAACTATTTACTACTATATGCATAGTCTACCCATGTCTAGGCTCTTCTGATTTATTTGTTTGTCATTCTCAAAAATGGTAATTTCTGATTAAAGACATATGACTGTAGTGCTTTATTGCTTCTTGCATCTTTGTTCTTTGTTTACATTTGTGAAAACAACCTGTCTATCCAATGTGATTCCACTGCAATCGTTACTGTATCCTTCAGCTGGTGAACCCGATGTCCGTATAGTTGGTTTTCTTGGGCCTTAACTAATTGTAGAAGAGTCTGCCTTGAGCCGTCACGAGCCTACATTTCTTGGCCTTGACTAATTCCAGTACTTGACTAGATTAGTCCTTGTTTCTTCCATTACTCTCTAGATTAGAGTAACTGAAACACTCAATCCACATTAAATGATCCCAAACCATATAAACCAGACTTGATTTAAATTCTGGCGTTATGTACAAGTTATAAGTTTTTCCTGCCCCCCCCCCCCCCCCAAAAAAAAAAGAAATATAAGTTACTGCAGTTCCTTTTTCTTGATGAAAGACAAATCTATTTGTCTAGGACAAGATTTTTAGTACGTATTCTCTTTTGAAGTGGTAGTAAAGTTTCTTTTTGTAGGTTTATTTTGGACAAAAAGATTGGGGTTGGCCAACCAAAACGCATAGAAAATGCTAAGATTTTGGTGGCAAATACTGCTATGGATACAGATAAAGTGAAGATATATGGTGCACGTGTTCGAGTTGACTCAATGGCCAAGGTTGCTGATCTAGAAGCAGCTGAAAAGGAAAAAATGAGAGAGAAGGTGCAAAAGATCATTAGTCATGGAATAAATTGCTTTGTTAACCGACAGCTGATCTACAATTTCCCAGAGGAACTATTTGCTGATGCTGGGATACTTGCAATAGAGCATGCTGACTTTGATGGTATTGAGCGGTTGGGCTTAGTTACTGGGGGAGAAATTGCATCAACCTTTGATAACCCAGAGTCTGTCAAACTTGGCCACTGCAAACTTATCGAGGAGATCATGATTGGCGAAGATAAGCTGATCCACTTCTCTGGGGTTGCAATGGGACAGGCATGTACAATTGTTCTGAGAGGTGCAAGGTGAGTTGGTGTTATGGTGCCTGCCTTTTATTTCATATGTTTCACTTGCTTGTGCAAGCTTGTTATGCATAACTGTGATGTTCCATTGTGTGAGTATTAAACTATGACATTGTAGACGCTTCATTTTTACCTACCCCCTCTTAAAGGTAGTTTGAACAATTAAATTTGTTTTAGAAGTCTTGGGATAATTCTTTTTTTTGTAAAAGAAAAAAAGAAGCATTGCTCGACTGTTTGTTTTACTTTTACTCGAGGACCGGCTCGATTCCTTAGTGCTTGTGTTCTGTAATTGGACCTGATGGTAATTGTCCCACATTGCATTCTTCTGGACTTTTTGTGTTTTCCTTACTGGGTTTTAAATATGATGATATGTTCTACTTGTGATGTGTTTCCTTGTTAATGTCTATTTTTGTTCTTTCTTTCAGCCCTCATGTACTGGATGAAGCTGAAAGATCTCTGCACGATGCATTGTGTGTACTATCTCAGACGGTAAATGACAGCAGGGTTCTACTTGGAGGTGGATGGCCCGAGATGGTGATGGCTAAGGCGGTTGATGAACTAGCTAAGAAGACTCCAGGTAAAAGGTCTCATGCAATTGAGGCTTTCACCCGTGCACTTCTGGCAATTCCAACCACCATTGCCGACAATGCTGGGTTAGACAGTGCTGAGCTGATTGCTCAGCTTCGTGCTGAACACCACAAGGACGAAAGTAATGCAGGAATTGATGTCATCTCTGGATCTGTGAGTAACTGATTTATGATTTTTGAAATGAACTTTGTTGTCAAGCTATGAGTTCAGAACAGTTTCGAGTATGGAGCTGTTCTGAGCTTGTTGTCTCTGTTTTCTTTTGTGCTTGACTTTACCTTAAGCATTAATCTAACTGCAAGAAGGAAATGATAAAAGCTAAAACTGATGCGATATCCTTAGATTAACTCTAGTTGGAAAATCTTTTGTCAGATCTGTTTTCCTTCTCAAGTGATTTCCACCCTAACCACCATTCAACTTTAAATAGTTGGTGCTTAATTTGTTTGCAACTGGATGTTTGAGAAAATCAAATGTTGACTCTCTTCCTCTCGTGGATAAAGTCATTGTTTTCCTACCTCTTGCCCTTTGTTTTACTAGTTTGACAATAGTTCTATTGCTGACACTTTTAACGGTAAAGCAGCAGCTATTGTTGTCCTTACTCTAACCTCATTTTTTCATGCCCAAAGGTCGTTTGCAAACTATAGAATAAAAAGCAATAGATGAGTTAATAGAACCTTTACCAAAATGGAAGAGATGTACCGTCTTATTCTCTTCAGACTCTGGAGAGGGCTTTCTTTCTTTTTCCTTTGTTTTTGTTCTTCATCTTGTGTCCGTTCCATAGCTCTAATAAATTTTTGTAATCACTTGTCTAGATTTACTTATTCAACTGGGCATCTTTGACAGGTCGGAGATATGTCAGAGCTAGGAATATCCGAATCATTCAAAGTCAAACAGGCAGTATTGCTCTCTGCCACTGAGGCTGCTGAGATGATCCTAAGGGTTGACGAGATCATCACTTGCGCCCCACGGAGGAGGGAGGGAATGTAAAAAACACACTATTAGTCATGTTTAAGCTGTTGAGACGACTCGTATTATTTATGGTTTGAGAATTTGAGGTGTTAGGTGTTGGAAGTCGTAAACGAACCAAAATGATAGATTGCTATTTGGAACCATGCTAAAATTCACTATGTTGAGTAGTTTATTTTGTTTTTGTCTTTTGAGAAAATGTTTTGGTTTGTTTTTCATCATGCAAGTTTTGAGTGAATGCATTGTTCTATTACTTTAGACATGTACTTGTTTTGTAAACACTAGTGATTTTTGTCATTTCAAGCATTAAAGAGTTGGTTGCACTGTGTATCATATATCTCTATGGTATGTAAGTCGAAGTCGAAAAAAGTATTCTTAATTTTAATAATATTATAACATTTATAACAACATTTCGAAACCATACAATACTGTACACAAAGCAAACACCTCTAAGATAAAAGTTAACACATAATCAGCCTTAAATCTTTGATTAATTTGAGCATCTTCTGTCTTGTTAAAATAGTAAAAACATCAACATCTAAACTTACATTGAGAAAATCATCTTTCTTTGATACATCTTTGAAATACCCAAAACAAAGTATAAACTAACTGAGGTCTAACATGCTAGTACTTTGCATCCAGTGGCCTTACATCTCCAAAGCTGCAACTGGTGGTACACTGCTAAAGGTTAATATGTCCAACTTTATAGAAGCAGAGTAGTATGTTGTGTCTATGCATGTCTTGAGCCAAGGATCTTATCGGAAAAAACCTCTCTACTTGCACAAGGTAAGGGTAAGGTGAACATTCTACGGTCCTCATATTCCATTTGTGGGATTACACTGGGTAATGTTGTTGTTGCAGACTCGTAGAGGGGTTGATATGTATGCATGTGAGAGAACTGAGAAGTATGGCAAACTCATAGATATTTGCACTGAAACAAGGAACCTCTAATTTATGTTATCTTGACATCGCGAAGAAGTCTAGCAGCCATTGCACCACGTCTTCTAGCTTCCCAATCAGTAAGCTTTCTGTTCTCAAGATCCATAACCAGGTTATTGTCTACCTTGTCCTCATTGTCAGTCACATCACCTTGATATTTACTTTCATCTTCGTCTGATCCATTCTTAGTCTCTTCTGTCTGCTGCTGCTGTCTAACAATTTCCGAGGTACTTCCTTGTGACTTGAAGCTCATTATGTATAACTGGATGCTTGGATGTTGGTAAGTACTATCCATCTGCACCGTTTACAAATGCAAACTTCACTGCAACTACCATGACTAAGTTCTACAACTATACACAAAACTGATAATGATAGGAGATTGATTATATGGCCGAGTTACCTTTGCTTTTGGAACTGTTTTGACCTCAAAATGTCTCTTCCATGTCTCAAGCATCTTTTCATGGACATTGGTTGATCGAATTTCATGACCCAACTATAAATGACATGTTCATTAACATAAAGAAAATAAATTTCGCAAGTTATATAAAACATTAGAGGGTACAACACCAGAATTGTTGTCTTTGGTCCAGATAGTGCAATTATTGTCTGCAAAAGCGGTTCCAAAAGATGTTCTGCATAAACCTAGTAAAAATATGGAAGTTTAGTGCAGATAAAACTTTATATGAGCAAGTAGAATTCAACAAAACTTACAACATCAGTCCCAATGATATAGTCGAATGGAGGGCTAACAGCCTTTATATGAGTTTCATTACCCCAGTCCAACTCTGCTGCCTGTATGGAACCAAATGAATCTACAGGGAATAGAGCTTTCAGTCAGATCATAGTCAAATACAACCACAATGGGACACAGGTCAGTTTGCATACAAAAGTACGACAAATGATAAGAGATTATACAGTTCAAAAAGCTAAAAAGATCCGAATGACAGATTAATTTGAAACCTGGATCTGAGATTGTCTGCATGATCCTGGAAGTATTACGCTCAACGTTTCTCATTAGCAATGGCAAAACCTCAGTTTGGTCAGTTGAAACTACATCACATCCAAGTAATGCCATGCCTATGGAAATTTGTTCCATCTCAGACAAAGAACCATGTAACTATAGACGGTATCTAAAAGAATGGAGTCTATTAAAGTAAAAGGCAGCCTACCAAATCCTGCTACGCCACAACCTGCCCCAAGTTCAATCACACGCTTTCCTCTCAATTTAGATGGAGAAAACCTCCCCTTCCGACAATTTCTTTCCTACAATGTAAAATCAAAAGTTTCCAGCTAATAACGTCAATACTGAAGGAGTAGGAGTGCTCAAAAAAGTATATATACATGTACATTAGAAAAGGACTCAACATTGAAAGACAATGATCTCAGTATTCCAGCCTCATCTCAGAAAAGGGAAAACGAAAAAGGAAAATAAGAAATCACAGTCAAGTTTAAGAAAAATGGAAAAAGAGAAGGAATACAGTATGGTAGCAAGGATATACAAATTACTCATTACAGTTAAATAGATAACTCACTACTTCTGTGCGTAGCAGATCAAAACAAAGCAGTGTTGAATAAATTGAAGTTGAAGCATACTATAGGGGACTTAAAAACTCACCAGAAATTTTACTAAAACCATAGATGCATCCCAAACAGTAGTGCCTAAATGCTTCGAATTAGGATCCTGTCATAAAATAAAGTGAACAAGAAAGGCCAATATCTCAAGGTACAATACTGGAAAACAGTTGGAGGTAGTTAAATTTTTTCTTTTTGACAAGAAACAGCAACTTAAAAAAACTTATATCCATGCACTGTTTGGTAAAACCAAACTCTTCTACATAGTTCAAGTTATTCGGAAATGCTTTTGGAGAGCTGAAAGAAATGTCGATAAGTATGTTAACAAGTTTCACTATCGGTGAGTAACGCCACCAAGTTCCACTTTCAGTGAAAGCCAACTGTTCTTTTTTGTAGTCTATGGATGTCCATTACATAACTTCCATTTCTTTCATATGTTCATTGCATATTTTTCATTCGTCAAGTCTAATAAAATGAAAATCATGATTCTCGTTTTCTTTATCTATCAAGATAAACGTGCTATTCATTTAGTACCTCAGTAGAGATGCCAAAATTCAAATGGCATGAAAATAGAGAAATCACTGTGGATCAGGAGTCACTAACATAGCCAAAAGAAAAGAAAGGCTACATACTACATTCAAAGGCCTAATTACCTGGCAAAACTGAAGTTGATGACCAAGAACATCAATGAGTATTGCAGAAGTGTGTGGAGAATTTAATCTGGTTAAAAATTGAGACTTTAGACCACCAAATGACATATACACAAGAAATCATGAGCAAGAGAAAACCAACATCTGTAAGCAACAGAAATCAACGACAACGCCATAGTCCCAAACAAGTCTAAGTAAGAGAGATCAATTCGGTAAACAATTTTACATTGTCCTTCGTCCCATAAGTAGCATTACAAGCTCCTTTTCTCCTCCTCACCTCCCACCCCCTAAGCCCCCAACTCCCTACTCCCCACCTCATCCCAGTGGCAGAGCAAAGTATTTGGTGAATAGTGTGTAAATTTTCTTGTTATACACCTCTAATAACTAACACTTAACCTCCGTACGCCGCATAGTTTTCATGACCATCCTTCGCCCAAGGTGACTCCGCCCATAAACTCCCAATCTCACCTCACCCCATAGTATCTTCTTAGCAGTGTTATCAAAAAGCAAAAAGCACAAAAAAATCTTTATGCTATATGAAACAAAATTACGATATAATAAAATAGCAATTGTTTAGTGTAGAAGCTCATTGTCAATAACGAAAAGTATATCTTATAGCCTTGACGACGAGACTACAGCACACATGATGTGAAGCAAAGCCTTCAAACACATTGTGTGAGCCTCACTTCATTCAACATGCCTTTAACCTAAATTACATATCAATATTCTTGCAATAACATTTTTTTTTCACTTACTACTTATCGAACACCAGAAAATAAGCTTATATCACCGAAAAACACTTTCCATATAACAAACACCCTAAAGAACACATTTTTAATGTGTAATTACAGTTTATACAAAAATGTGAATATGAAATAAGCAATGCACATACCTATCTGCATCCATAGAGAATCAACGAACGGATTTATCCTTCAGTCAAAAAAAAAACGCAAAAACGAAAAGAAATCGATTAATTGCTGAAAAATTGGGCAAATCGTTTCATCAACAAGTAAAACTAAGAAAAAAAAATCAATCAGCTCAAATCAGTTAGATTATATACCTGATCAAAATTTCTCGCCGGAACATCAACTGAGTTAACCAAAACTGCGCCGAGGGGGCGGCGTTAAAGGGCAGTTAGCTTTTTGTTTACTCTACTAGGTTAGGGGTATTTTAGGGTTTTCCATTATCTTTTAGCAATGTTATATTCTAATGCTTTTAGGGTTTAAGCAGTCAGTTTCAGTCTCCTTCACATCACAAGTCCTTCAAACTCTTTCTTGCCCAGTTTTTACAGGTAAGTTTCTTCCTTCTCTTTTTGTTTTTTTGTTTTGGTTTTGGCATTTTTAATGTTAGTTAGGTTTTGAAGAATGTGTTAGTTTTTACACGTAAGTTTCTTCCTTCTCTTTTTGTTTTGGTTTTGGCCTTTTTAATGTTAGTTAGGTTTTAAGAATGTGTTAGTTTTTGGCTTTTACATATAAATAAGACAGTTTAGATGGTATGAGTAAGCATGTATTCACTGAAACCTTTTGAATTACAATTTTAGTCATGTCTTGGTATAATATGGATACACCAAATGATGAATTAATACTCATCAATTCCTCATATAAAAAGAAAAGTTAGAAACTTTATGTTTATAGAAGCAAACAATCTAGAAGGTGATCTTGTTGTGCAGTTGATCACGCGTAGCCAACCATAGAATGAACCTGGAACCTAGTGTAATCTTGGTCCATATTAATTCAGCAGAAACCACTAGATATTTCGTACCGTATACCAATGTACCATTCTAATAGTTGTCTCCGTTAGTAGCAGCTATTTGGACTTGGGGCATGTGACCAAGGTAATCTCCCATGAATCTCTAAAGAAACTACTCCCAAATACATCAGGTCTAGTAGGACTTGTTGGTCTACAGTTAGCTTCTTACCGGCAGTGAAGAAAACACTGTGAAATCAAGTAGGAGTTGTTGGTCTAGCAATTGCTTATAATATTGCACAAAGACTTCTGCTATCTTCTCTGGGTCTGTATGGGTCTGCTGGTCTTCGTCTTGGATTTGTGTAACTGCTTGAAATAGTTTTCTCTGCTTGATCATCCCCAAGTTTAATCCACATTGCGTTGCTTCTTTGCATGAGAAGCATTTCTGCTAGGTAGCTAACCCTTTTAAACTCCCTCGCCTGCCTCCTTTCCTGCAAAACATTGTAAATATCCTAAGTGGGTGCTTCTTTGTGATGACCCTAAACTAAGTGTTCATCTACAATGACATAAAAGAAAGCAGTCCTAACTGCTCTATTGATAGTTTTTGGGTCATCAAGATAGACTGCTGATTTTGCTCAAGTACAGAATTAACCTCTTGTTCCTGAATTCTTCTGCTATAGCTTCAGTGACATATCTTTACAAATTTCTGGTTATATCATATATGTGACTTGTTAGGGTGTGTAGTCACTCATTTATATAAGAAATAATTCAATGGATTGCGTCAATAAGATAATGAGAAGAACATATAAATTAATCTTTGTGAAATGGCGGAGGCGGAGGAAGAGGAATGAATTTCTCATGAAGTATCATCTCCCTTTAGCAGACCATTTCCGAAAACTGTTTTCCCTGGAGAGAGTAGTATTTATGTTCCCCTTTCGAGGATTGAAAAGAATAAGAAAGACTTGATGAATGATCTCACAATTTGACATCTTGTTATGACGCTTCTTCACATTTTTAACATAGTTTGTGTGAGTTTGCTTCCCTTGGATCTTTATACTCGTTGCATCAGTCATATTTTTGTGACTAGTTTTACTGGGTTTTGAAAAATGATAACCTCTTTTAAGGCATTTCCAAAGATAATCATTCAATCGTTAGTCAAGCTTTGCACTAGTAAAGAAAAAATGTTAGTTGGAAGAGGATGAAATTGAGTTGATCTGCTTAGTTGTTTGATCATGTGTCTCAAGCTCATTTGGAAAAAAAAGGTACTTCTCTGTAAAGCCAAATATAAAGAGCAGTGTCTATTGATTACACAAATAGATGAATGAGGATATTATATTTCATCAAATTTTCTCGTTATACTCTGTTGGCGATCCTCCTCCTCAGCCTCTTTTTATCTATTTGATTTCTCTTTTCCATTGCTTGCTCCGGATTGGGTCCGTGCTCAGCACGGGCACACCATCACTAGTAGTAATATATAATTAGTAGATGGAGTATGTATCTATTAGGAATGATACAAAATAAAATAAATTAGCCAAAACTATCTATTTATGTTTTTTTTCCCCACAAATGTATGCCGGGGCCAAAACTGGAGAAGACATGGGCTAAAGCCCATTCTTGTTGAGTCTATGTCTGCAAACTCCAAACTTATATATATTTTAACCCGACATAACGTTAAACATCTAGACAGCCGCCTGTTGCCATCTCTTTCTGAAACATTAAAGGTATATAGTTCTTTTGTATGTTTTTTTGTTGAGGAACTTGTTGAGTAATTTGGGGGTTATTGAAAGTTTGCTTTAGTGTATAATAAAATGTTGTAGTTGTGTTGAATTGATTTTCGTTTCAAGAATCCATTATACA